TACTACTTACTACTTACTACTTACTACTTACTACTTACTACTTACTACTTACTACTTACTACTTACTACTTACTACTTACTACTTACTACTTACTACTTACTACTTACTACTTACTACTTACTACGTACTACTTACTACTTACTACGTACTACTCGTACTACTTACTACGTACTACTCGTACTACTTACTACGTACTACTACGTACTACTTACTACGTACTACTACGTACTACTACGTACTACTTACTACGTACTACTACGTACTACTACGTACTACTTACTACGTACTACTACGTACTACTTACTACGTACTACTACGTACTACTACGTACTACTTACTACGTACTACTCGTACTACTTACTACGTACTACTCGTACTACTTACTACGTACTACTCGTACTACTTACTACGTACTACTCGTACTACTTACTACGTACTACTCGTACTACTTACTACGTACTACTCGTACTACTCGTACTACGTACTACGTACTACTCGTACTACTTACTACGTACTACTCGTACTACTTACTACGTACTACTCGTACTACTTACTACGTACTACTACGTACTACTTACTACGTACTACTACGTACTACTACGTACTACTACGTACTACTTACTACGTACTACTACGTACTACTACGTACTACTACGTACTACTTACTACGTACTACGTACTACTTACTACGTACTACTTACTACGTACTACGTACTACTTACTACGTACTACTTACTACGTACTACTTACTACGTACTACTTACTACGTACTACTTACTACGTACTACTTACTACGTACTACTTACTATTACTACGTACTACTTACTATTACTACGTACTACTTACTATTACTACGTACTATACTTACTACTACTTACTATTACTACGTACTATACTTACTACTACTACGTACTATACTTACTACGTACTACTTACTACGTACTACGTACTACGTACTACTTACTACTTACTACTTACTACTTACTACTTACTACTTACTACTTACTACTTACTACTTACTACTTACTACTTACTACTTACTACTTACTACGTACTACTTACTACGTACTACGTACTACGTACTACGTACTACGTACTACGTACTACGTACTACTTACTACGTACTACTTACTACTTACTACTTACTACTTACTACTTACTACTCCCTACTTACTACTTACTACTTCCTACTTACTACTTCCTACTTCCTACTACTTACTACTACTTACTACTACTTACTACTACTTACTACTACTTACTACTACTTACTACTACTTACTACTACTTACTACTACTTACTACTACTTACTACTACTTACTACTACTTACTACTACTTACTACTACTTACTACTGCTTACTACTGCTTACTACTACTTACTACTACTTACTACTACTTACTACTACTTACTACTTACTACTACTACTTACTACTTACTACTACTACTTACTACTTACTACTTACTACTTACTACTTACTACTTACTACTTACTACTTACTACGTACTACGTACTACTTACTATGTACTACTTACTACGTACTACTTACTACTACCTACTTACTACTACCTACTTACTACGTACTACTTACTACGTACTACTTACTATTACTACGTACTATACTTACTACGTACTACTTACTACGTACTACGTACTACGTACTATGTACTACTTACTACTTACTACTTACTACTTACTACTTACTACTTACTACTTTCTACTTATTACTTTCTACTTACTACTTACTACTTACTACTTACTACTTACTACTTACTACTTACTATTTACTACGTACTACTTACTACGTACTACGTACTACGTACTACGTACTACGTACTACGTACTACGTACTACGTACTACTTACTACTTACTACTTACTACTTACTACTTACTACTTACTACTTCCTACTTACTACTTCCTACTTACTACTTCCTACTTACTACTTACTACTACTTACTACTACTTACTACTACTTACTACTACTTACTACTACTTACTACTACTTACTACTACTTACTACTACTTA